AAATATATTCCATTTATTTGTCTATGTGCACAAATATATACAGATAAAAGCATATAAATTTTAGAGTATATTTTATACAAAATGTGTCTATTTTTCCAAAGTTATTGTAGTTGCTGTTCTCAGTCAGTTAATTTTACAAAAGTGAGTCAGCTAGCATATCACAAATGAACTTTGGAACAAAAGATTTCTACAGTGCATGTTCTGTTGTGGATCGATGGTCCAGTTCCCAAGTTGAAGTAAAGTCTCAGTGAGGGGTTGTGAGCAGTCCCTCTGATCTGACCTGACTGGGCAGCTTCCCAGGATCATTCTGGGCTGCCCGCATGCAGCCCTGGCTTTTGCTGCACGTGGCCGTGTTGGCTGCTCATGAAATAGCAGTTTTCAAATGGATTTGGAAACTCTCAGGACTTATGAGTGACCAGGCAGCAGAAAAGGTAAGAGAAAATAAGTTATTTATGTTATTCTTTGATGTCTTTCTGGTGTTTAATTTCTAGGTAAAGGAGAAATAGGGGGAGAGGTAGATTGTATGGGACCGTGAGTGTCCACTCTCTGGTCCACACTTTGCTAACTTCCCTAAATGGCAATTGAAGAAAAGATTAGCAGGAGCTGCTCTACTTCTTGCTTACTAATGATTAGATTGTCTGTGATGCTTTGAAACTGCCCTTTTAAAGCTATAAATATAACTTTGACTTTCAGTCATTCTTGTGCACTTTAAAGCACTATATAGGCCCGTGAACAGCATACCTTCAAACGGCAAACTCAGGTAAAATCTATGTCCTGGTAGCTTTCAATGATAGTTTAATGACAGTTTGTGGCTAGATATGTTTCAGTAGTCAAAGGCTTTTTGTAGACAATGGGAAAGGAATCCCTAGGATTCTGCGGGGGTGGGGGGGGGGAATTCCCTGAGCTTTTTCTCTTATGAATTCTAGAACCAAAGAGAAGATTTGTGTCTTTCTAATAAGAAATCCTACTCCTCAGTTCTTGCCAATTTTTAAGAGTGGTTTAAAGTTCTCAGAAATTCATTATTGTGACAAGAGGGTGATAGTGCTAGAGGATCAGAATTCTGAGTCTTGGGTGGAGATGTCCAGGAGAAGATGGAAGCAAGAGAAGCAGGAAGGACACAGGACTCCAGGAATGTGACCCATTTAGGTCAAGTGTCAAGTCTTGCTGGGGTTGATGCCTCTAGCTAAGCTGCTGTTGGGCCTTTAGGGACACAGACTGCTCTAGCAGTTGAGATGGGCTGAGCCAACTGAGTTGGGCTAGCCTGGATTAAGCTGGCTGGATTGAAGCAAGCTAGGCTTAACTATGCTGAGGTGTGCTGAGTGAAGCAAATGGATTAGCTGGGCTAGCTGAGCAGGGCAAAGCTGGCTAAAGTGGATGGAGCTGAGCTGGGTGAGCTGGGCTCAGTAGAGCTCAATAGAGATGGTTCAGGCTGGCTGAGCTGAGCAGAACTGTACTAGCTGAGCTGGACAAAGCTGAGCTGGGCAAGGCTGAGCTGGGCTAGCTGAGCTGAGCAGAGCTAGCCTGGGCTAGATAGAAGCAAGTTGGGCTAGCTGAGCTGGGCATTGCTGAGGAAGCCAGATTTGAGCTGGGATAGCTCAGCTGAGCAAAGCTGAGCTGAGCAGAGCTGGGCTGGATGGGACTGAGCTGGGCTAGATGAGCTGAACAGAACTGGGCTGGACAGAGCTGAACTGGGTTAGAGCTGAGCAGAGCTGGGCTACCTCCGCTGAGCTGGAGATGACTAAGCTGGGTTAGCTGAGCTGGGCAGAGCTGAGCTGGGAGGATATGAACTGGACGAGCTGAGCTGGGCTGGACAGGACTGAGGTGGGCTAGCTGAGCTGGGCAGAGCTGGGCTGGGAGGATCTGAGCTGGGCTGCTGAGCTAGGCTGGACAGGACTGAGCTGGACAGGACTGGGCTAAGCTGGAGGAGCCAAGCTGAGCTAGCTGAGCTGGGCTGGACAGGACTGGGCTGGGCTAGCTGAGCTGGGTAGACCTGGGCTAGGAGGATCTGAGATGGGAGGATCTGAGCTGGGCTGGGAGGATCTGAGCTGGGCTAGGTGAGCTGGGCAGAGCTGGGCTGGGAGGATCTGAGCTGGGCTGGGAGGATGTGAGTTGGGCTGCTGAGCTAGGCTGGACAGGACTGAGCTGGACGGGACTGGGCTAAGCTGGGCTGGGTGAGCCGGGCTGGGAGAGCTGAGCTGGGCTGGACAGGACTGAGCTGGGCAGAGCTGAGCTGGGCAGAGCTGAGCTGGGCAGAGCTGAGCTGGGTGGGACAGGGCTGAGCTGGGCAGCACTGAGCTGGGCGAGCTGAGCTGGGCAGCGCTGAGCTGGGCGAGCTGAGCTGGGCAGCGCTGAGCTGGGCGAGCTGAGCTGGGCAGCGCTGAGCTGGGCAGCGCTGAGCTGGGCAGAGCTGAGCTGGGCAGCGCTGAGCTGGGTGAGCTGAGCTGGGCGAGCTGAGCTGGGCAGCGCTGAGCTGGGCAGCGCTGAGCTGGGTGAGCTGAGCTGGGCAAGCTGAGCTGGGCGGGACAGGGCTGAGATGGGCAGAGCTGAGCTGGGCAAGCTGAGCTGGGCAGAGCTGAGCTGGGCGAGCTGAGCTGGGCAGAGCTGAGCTGGGCTGGGAGGATCTGGGCTGGGCGAGCTGAGCTGGGCTGGACAGGACTGAGCTGGGCTAGCTCAGCTGGGCAGAGCTGGGCTGGGCAGAGCTGGGCTGGACAGAGCTGAGCTGGGCAGAGCTGGGCTGGGCAGAGCTGAGCTGGGCTG